TGCGAATGCCTCCAGAAAGGAAGGCTAAGCAACTGTTCCTTACAAATCCGACCGGCAAAAGGCCCAGAGGCGGCCAAGATTAGCCTGGTGCAAACATGTGGAAAGAATCTGTTCCAGACTGCATTTGTCTTTTGCCGAAGCTTAGACTCTGGCACAGAATCGGGAACGTTGGAAGCACTGTCTGACGCGTCTGCCTCCGCGACCCGAAAGCAGATGCGGCGATGGAAGATGAAGATGAAGATGATGAGTCCATGCTTCTGATTTTTAAGGAAACGTATTAGGCGTTAAACGTTGTCCAAACGGATGGTATTCATCCAAGGTACTCCGTGAATTGCTCTCTCGCTATTCATGTCTTGTACGTCTTACTTTGCATTTAGTTGCTCCTGAGTCCTGCGCCAACGTTTGATCTTCCGCAGATGATAACTCGGGCGGGCTTGGAGCAGAATTTATGGAAACACTTCAGCTTACATCGGGCAAACACTAGCTGTCTCACCTTCATTTACGGAATCGTTCCCCAAAGGCGTAAACTTACACCAGGGCATTCTCGGATATTTGAATTGCGGATCTGCCGAGATATGTGAACTCACCAATTCCTTTCGGAAAGCGCATTTCAGCCACTTGAACCCGACATCGCAGTTATTCAGTCATATCTGCTTATTAACACAATGCGGAATAAATGTTTATCTTGAATATAAACCGCTATGAACGTTTCAGACTTTACTTCACCTGTCGCAATATAGACTATTCCTTGATAGGTATTTAATTACATTGTTAATTTCCGGGACGGTCTGGCTCATGACATCAGCCACCTGCGAGTACCTTGTACCGTACCTTGCAACATAACCAACACGATAATAATTCTTGAAGCTGACAAGTTCATTTGCATTCACGCAAGGAACTGACAATCTGATCGCAAAATCCCATTCTCCCGTTGGGACGCGATCAGACGGAACCGTCTAGTTTTGGAAACTCATGGGCCCTTTACACGTAATGAACCGAATCAAGATGGACGCCGTACGTGAACAAAATCGTCGTTGGTTTGGGCGAACGAAGATATGTGCAATGGCACGTTATAATCGAGTCATAGCTATAACATGTTTCGTGGTATTGGTCGAAATCCGTTAGGTGTTTCTGATATAATTGCTAGGGTATGAACAAATTATTGTTTTTACAAAAGAATTTCATTGTTTCTCATACAACAGGGTTACATGTGGTAGATACACGTCATCTGTCTACTTCAATCAGTCCGCACACCGTTTATCAATCTTCTCGACGCAAGATGTTGAGCTTAGCTTCGCTAGACAATAGTTGACAGTCGCATGAAATTGTCAGGGTGT